GAAACATACGCAGGCAATAAATTCTATATTGCAGCAATATAAAAACATAAAGAATACAGATTACTTAATAATAAGACATTAATTCACAGAAATCATAATTCACTTATAGAAATCTGATTTTCCAGTTCTATATCTTTGGGACTGTGAGTGTATTTGGTACCATCCTTCTCCTGTATCATCTGAGAAACTGAACAGAAATGGGTCTCTTTAGTTCTGAGGCAGGAGTGTATCTGAGAAATTCAGGTGGAGTATTAGGCAATCATTAAGAAAAAGATATAGCTCTGTGTATTCTATTTCTGTGTCTCCTGACACAGAGGGGTTTGGTATATATTTCTTAGCAGAACTATGTCTATTAGGATTCTGTAACTATTATATCTATCTATCTATCTGTCTGTCTGTCTATCTATCTATATCTGAAAGTAGACAAATTGAATTTTGGATTTGTAACAATCCTGTTAAGTGAGATTTTGTAGAGAGAAGGAGAGGTATTGGGCATTTTTCCTTTATCTTTTAATACACCGGTATTATTTAATTTCTTTTAAACACAAGAATATATTAATTTAGTACTTAAATAAACATGTAAACATGTTTCAGGGCACTTTGGTAAGCTGGAGAGTATGAAGGCAGAAAGGAGAAAGCTGTACCTTCTCAATCCTCTCTGTAGGCTAGAGGTCTCCACAGCCCTCTGGATGTGGTTACTGTAAAACAATAGCCTCAGGTGCACCTGGTTAAGAAGAAGGAGGGGGAGTGGGTCTATGGGCAGAGGCCTGGATCTTAGTGACATCCAACTGACCTTCCCACAAATATCCTCTTCAAAGCTGCTTTCTGCTCCTGGTTGCATAGTCAAGTGCCAGGTTGTTTTACCCAAACTGTACACACTCCTCTGGAGGCTGAAGAATCAAGGGATAGATGTTCTCATGTTTATTTCAAAGGAATTTTACAATCTGGCTGCTAGGTGTATACCAGGTCAGGGTTGGGAGCATGGAAGATGGTGGAAGCGATAAGGACCAGGGATCACTCCCTTGGCCTTGGGCCCACGCTCCTGCCAAATAGTGGGGTCCAAACCACTCTCAGGACATTTTGCACCAGAGTTGTCACAATAAAGTACCTGAGCTTGATATAAGTCACATGGTGTACTTTGCCTCTGCCCCAAGCATCTTATACAGGTGTAAAGGAACATTCATGGGCCACTCAAGAGGAGAAAGGAAAGTAAGGAAGGTGACGTACAGCCCCAAGCAGGGTGAAGGAAGGGCTGGCAGGTGTTGACATTGGTGGGAGAGCCTCAGGGGCACTGGGAAGCTGGTTAACATGAACATTACAATTCTACAATAGTCTCCCCTTATCCATGGCGGATATGTTCCAAGACTCTCTTAGATGCCTGAAACCGTGGATTGTACTGAAGCTTAACATATACTATGTTCTTTTCTATAGATATATACCTATGATAAGGTTTAATTTATAAATTAGGCACAATAAGCGATTAACAATAACTAATAATAAACCAGAACAATTATAATAATATACTGTAATAAAAGTCATGTGAATGTAGTCTCTCTCAAAATATCTTATTGTACTGTACTCGCCCTTCTTCTTCTTGTGATGATGTAAGATGATAAAATGCCTACCTGATGAGATGAAGTGAGGTGACTGTCGTAGGCATTGTAACATAGTGTTAGGCAAAACGGCAGAAGGACAATCATCTGCTTTCTGATGGCGGTTGACTGTGGGTGACTGAAACTGCAGAAGGCAAATCTGCCATAAGGGGGAGCTACTGTATATACTTTGTCTAGTGATACTACTCACCTCTTCCCAACTGCTTCCCCTGTGAGTTACTGATAAGCTGCCTGTCTCTCCTTCCTCCCTCCAAATTGGGAAGTGCCTCCCAAAGTCACTGCTCAGTTCTGTGCACAGCTCCGGCCAGGGCATTTCTTGTTTTCTAGGAACTCAAAACCCCTCAGAGGTGATGCTAGTGGTTGCTTTGTATGGTTTCCTCCCTCACTCCCTCTGCCGTGGGGTTGTAGGAAGAGGACTAAGCCACCGTTGCCCTAATCATCTCCGGGTCTCCATCAGATCTGTCTGATTCATGGAAGTCTGGTGCATGATAATTGTTCAGTGGAAGTGCATCTGCTTTCAGAGAAGCTGAGACTGTGGTACCGCACCACCAACATATTACTCTCCTGGGTTTAGGCAAGTATTTAACTCCAGGGTCTCAGGCTCTGTAGGGCCCTGCTCGAACAGGGCCTATGTGCTTTACAGTAGCCATGTGTCCTTGAGGCTCCTTGTCTGGGCTATGCGTCAGCACTCATGATGATAACGGCCCTGGGCTTGGCCAACCCAGCTGTTTCTTGTGGGAGAGTCAGCACAAACACCTCTGTGGTCTGAGGGAACACGGAGGCCCACTGCGGGGGGCGGGGGATTGCTCCTTGGAATGCAGGTCACAGAGGGACAGTCCCCATTGGCAAGCATGCAGCCTTTGTTCCTCTGCCTACTTAAGCAGACTTCTCTCAGGGTTTGCAGCGGTGCGCATATCTAAGTCCAGTTTGCCACCCCTGGACTCTCTCCCCGTATGTAAGTCGTAATAAATCTATATGTATTGCCCTCCGTCTCTGGGTCGTTTCTTCAGTCTCTTGGCATGATACCCCGCTGTCTTAGCTTAGCTGGACTTGCGGCCAAACAGGCTCCTAGAGTACCCATCCTCATGTATGGTCTCTGTGTGAGGATCAGTGAGGCATCCCATGTCAACTGCCAAATCCAGTGCCTGCCACAGGATGTGTGTTTCTGGGATTAGAACCCTGGGCATCTCTTCCTGTATTAGGGTCTAGACATGGAAAGTGGAGCTGGACATTCACTGCTGCTCCGGTCAGGTCCATCCTCCACCTTGAGCTGTGAATGGGCAGGATAGCCAGAAATGTACCTCTGACATTTCCTGTCCCTTCATTCCACCCACAGAACATTTATGGAACACCTGGTAAACACTTTCAGATGCTGAAGATGAAAGGATGAATGAGACAGGGGCCCTGAGTGGCCTCAAAGGGCTTCTCATCTAGCAGGGGAGCTCATATCACTGGAGAGTCCAACGGCTCACATTCTCTCCTACCTTCTATTTTCCCTGCCCACCCTCTGAGCAATGTGATTCCTCCTCCTCTCCTTACTTGGGTCTTAGCGCTGTTTCTCTCCTCTCTCTCAGCCTCTCACTCCCATGATTGCCCATTCAATTCTATTGTAAAAGGACTGAATAAGGTTTTTAAAAAGTCTTATATTGCCATTTTTGTTACGTCAGTCATCATTTCACAATGGAGACTGATTCATGATCAGAGAGAGAAGATACTGGACCACTTGAAGAGTATTTTTGGACACTTCGTGCAGCTACCACTTCTAATGTTTATTTCAACATCTGCACCCTGAGGTTTTTTTACCCGCCAAACATTTATGGAGCTTCTACTCTGGGCCACGCACTTTCCTAGGCATTAGGGATAGAGCAGCTAACAAAGTGAAGTCTCTGTCCACATAGACTTACATTCTAAAGTGGAAGCAGGCCGATGAGCAAAGAGCTCTACCTGATGGCTGCTAGTATGACACATGCTATGTAGTGAAATGAAGCAGGGTCAAGGGTTAGAGATTACTGGCAGAGAGCAGTGTCCTCTGATGGATGAGGTGGTCAGGAAAGTCCTCTCTGAAAACAGTGGGAGAAGAAGTCAGGTAGCTAACTGGGGAGAGAGCCTGGTGAGACAGAAAGGGTAGAAAGTGCAGAGTTCCTGAGGCCAGAGCTACATGATGTGTGCGAATCAGCAAGGAGGACAAGGTGACTGGAACAGAGAAGGGAATGGGAAGAGGCCTAGGAGATGAGGCGGGGCCTTGTAGGCTATAATCACGATTTTGCTTTTTATTTTGAGTGAGAGAGGAAAACTGTTGGAGGGTTTTGAGCAGGGGAGCGAAGAGATCTAACTTTTGTTCTAAAGGATTCCCGTGCTTACTCTGTGAAGAATACATACATATATACTGCAGGAAGGGAGGTGTGAAAGCTACGACGCAATTGGTTGCAGCAGTCTGGGTGAGAAAGGAAGGCCGGGATCAGGGTGGTAGTGGTAGAAGCGACAAGACGTGTCTGAATTGGGGATACATCTTAAAAGCAGAGTCAACAGATTATGTTGGCTCTAAGGTCCTGGACCCAACTCACTTGTCAACAACTATTTGAACAATCACTAAGTAGAAAAACAAAACCATTTAAAAACACAAGTGTTCATTGTTAAAGAATAACAACCCAGTGGCCAAGGGACACTAATTATAAGGACACGAAATAGAGAATCAAAGACAGGCAGGACGCCTGCAAATGGTCATCTGATGATTTTGAAGAACTGTTTATACTTTGCTATTCAGAAAAGTTCTTTAACAGGATAGAGGTATACAATATTACTTGCCAACTAAAGTGAAATTCCTGTTTAAGTATTGTTTTCTCATGGAAGACAGGACCTCTGAGGGTCTTTCATAACTCTGAAAGGATGTGTGACTCCCGCGGTGCGGCCAGCAGTGGTTAATAGTTCTCCGGGTGAATGAGATTTAAATAAGCAAGGAAATGTGTTAACTAAATTTCACGTAATTGAAATCCAGCGGCCGCAGACCCACCAAGGAACACCGAGTTCTGTGAGTCAGCTAGGTTGAACGGTGGGTAACCCTCTAAACTTGAGCAGGTTAGGTTGGTCCGCTCTGAGAGATGGGTCTTGGCGCTCGCTCGGTCCTGGCTGATGCCGGACCCACACCGGGGCTCTGAAGAGGCGGGGAGGGGGGCTGTTGGCCTTGTTGGCCTTGTTTGCTTTTATCCACAGGCCTTGAGAACTGCGGTCCCCCGAGACCCTGCCCACCGCTGCCCCGGCCACGCCCTCCTTGGCCACGTCTCCGAGGCTCTGCCTGCTCCACCCTGGCCACGCCCCCACGCCGCGCTGGTAGCTTCCCTGGCCACGCCCCCTCCTCCTCCCCCGGGCCGCGCCGGCGCGCAGGCCGACCTTGCGGCTTTGTGGGCGGAGCTTGCGCAGCCGCCGGGACCCCTGCGCACACCGCCCTCCGCGCCTGGCCCCCGCGGGCCTTTGCCGACACGCACTTCCTGCGAGGCCTCCGTGCGCACCTTAGCCGAGCCCCAGCGAGCCGAGCCCAGCATTGCCCTTGCAAGCCATTCGCCATGGTGGACGAGCTGGTGCTGCTGCTGCACGCGCTGCTGATGCGGCACCGCGCCCTGAGCATCGAGAACAACCAGCTCATGGAACAGTTGCGGCTGCTGGTGTGCGAGAGGGCCACCCTGCTGCGCCAGGTACGTCCGCCGAGTTGCCCGGTGCCCTTCCCCGAAACGTTTAACGGCGAGAGCTCCCGGCTCCCTGAGTTTATCGTGCAGACGGCGTCTTACATGCTCGTCAACGAGAACCGATTCTGCAACGACGCCATGAAGGTGGCATTCCTAATCAGCCTGCTCACCGGGGAAGCCGAGGAGTGGGTGGTGCCCTACATTGAGATGGATAGCCCCATCCTAGGTGATTACCGGGCCTTCCTCGATGAGATGAAACAGTGTTTTGGCTGGGATGACGATGAAGAAGACGACGACGACGACGAAGATGATGATTATTAGGCCCTGAGACCCTCTGGCCTAGGTGGGAGGGCCCTGCACGCCGCCTCCGCCCCCCCAACTCTCGCCCTGCCGGGAGCCGCCGCTCTCCCCCTCTCCTTCCTATCCCCTTCCCTATCCCTGTCCTCCCATTCCTTCCCTCATGCCCCCCCACCCCCCGCCCCCACTGCGTAGAGCTTGTCTTTGTTCCAGGCATTAGTGCTCCAGTTACCTGCTGCTGGGGCTGAGGCCTCGCTCTGAAGCGGGCCATCACCCACTCTGGCCAGCCCCAGGACCCTCCCCTGCTAATTTGGACTGTGTCCTGAGCCCCACCTATAGGTCAGGATCCTGTTACAAACTGGTCAGCCTACTCACAGCCCTGAGTCCAACTGCCAGGCCTACATCTTCCCAGAGACTTAAAGCTGCCACTTCATCATCGTCCGCTACGTCCCGGCGACAGACCACCACCTTTGGAGATAAGGGTCAACCTAGAAGATCCCCGAGTTGGCTACACCTCCTCGGACATAGATTTGGACAGCTCACCAACCCTTTAAGGGGGCAGTCTTTCAGCCTGGTTAGTTCCCTACCTGCTCCCAGAGTCCTCTCTTGCCCCACCAAATGGCTGTGGGGTCCTAGAGTGCCTGGCAGCCAGATGGTTGACATTTCTGTTCTCCTATGCACCAGTTTTGCACAGCTGTCATTTTTTTTTTTTCAAAATTGCAGCAGTTCCACAGATGTATGCATTTGGACAAAAATACTAAAAACAAACAGACAAAATCAGGCACTTGGCCCAGCTCCTCAATACTACCTGGAAAAAGCGCTTGTTCTTTTCAATAAATATCAAGCACTACTGAAAAAAGAAAGGAGTGTCTTTTAATGGTTAAGTGCTATCATTGGCCTCTACAACTCTCACTTTGAGTCCCATTATTGCCACTGAGATCAGGGCACCTGAGTCAGTTATTCCCCACTGTCATCTCTAGGCTACAGAGGACAGCTACCACAGGACTTTGGTGGGATTCTGCTGCTCCCCTCACCAAAGCATTTCTTAAAGCCCTGGCGAAGGGAGTGTCCTCTGGGGCCTCCAGGGTGGCATGGGTAAGGGGTGACTGAGCAGGTGGCACACCATCCCAAACTGGGACACTTTTGAGAGTGAAAGGGATGCTATTATTAATTAGACTGAGACAACAGGCGTAAATCTGGACATATACGATATTCCTATCTTCCTGAGCCTTTAGGTTCCTTAGCACTGCCAGAGAAGTTCTGTCTCTTAATTCTTATTGCCTTTGGGCTGCTGTTGAGTTCACGCTTCAGTTAACAAAGTAGCACATTGTTTTAATGCCCGTCTCAGCTACTTTAACATTAAATCCTGATTCTTTGGTGAGTGCACCCATAATAAATAGAGCCTGATTTTAACATTTTATCCTCCTTGGGCAGACACCTTTAGAGTCCCCACCCATACAAATGCCCCAAGTTAGTGCCTGTAGAAATTGGCACTGTGCCTGGCTATCTCCTGAACTAGACCTTGTTCTGCTATCTGGGCTATGCTGAAATCTCTGTGGGCTGTGAGAAGCCAGAGGCAGTGAGGGAGTGGGCTGGGTGCTGAGAATAATCTGCATAGTTTTGTGAGGCCATTACCCAAGGTTAAGTCATTGCAATGTGTTAAATCGGAGGAGCTTGGTCGGGGGATTTGTGGGGGCTACCTTTGCCAGCCAGGAATGTTCAGGAGGATTTGAGTTCAGAGTTTTCACTCTCGTCTATATCTGCAAATGTCCTCATTGTACCATGCCTGGAGCCACCCTACTTTAGCACCTCTAATTTAGACAATAAATTTCCTTGTTGTTTAAGACCTTTTGAGGCTGGGCATTCTTTTATTTGTACTGGTAAACCTCAGTGTGGATTAAATGAGATACTAGTCATCATACTGGTCACCTCACAGACCTGGATTTGATGAGATCACACCCGTGCGGTACTTAGAACTGTCCCTGCTACATGGTGAGCACTCAGTAAACATGGGCTGTTAGTCCCAGGCCTGGGAACCGAAGTCTCACTTGGGAAACAGGTCTCTTGCTATGAGCTTGGCTTTAGTAGGGAAATGTCGGAACAGGAGCAGAGCAGGCTCAGGGAAAGTAGAAATGAGAGTGTGACAAGATGACCTCATTTACTCTTTGGGATCTGACATGAACTCAGGAAGCCAGTTTACTTCGTGAACAGGCGAAGTCCAGGGCAGGAGTCATTTCTCGAGCCTAGGACAGTTGTTTCTGGAGGGTAGGGACAGGACTGGATATTACTTAGCAAAGGAGGTGGAGGCCCAAAGGGGATGGATGTGGGAAAGCAGTGAGCAAGAGCTGAAAGCTAGATAAAGGATCCAGCAAGACCAAAAATCAGTCATTCAAAATTATCAGTGGTTCAGGTATACTGAAAGGAGTTAGAGATATGGAGTGAGTGAAAGATGGTTCTTGCCCTCATAGTGATTCTAATTTGTTGCTTTGCTTTTATGGTGCCTTGAGTCAGAACTGGGATGAAATCTAGCTGTAGGTAAGGTTCAGAAAGAGAGTCTAGACTGATTAGATCTGGTAGTGACATTTCCAGGGTAGAAATTGAAGACATGAGTAGATGAGATCTATTCCCCACCACCAAACCAAGTGAGCGCATCCTCCGTGGGGAAGGGAGAGATCTCTGGTGTGTGAGGATGCCATGCCAAGGCAGCAGCTGAGGAGCATCCATGAGAGCTAGGCCAAGCATCTTCTGGGATCTGAAATGCACATGTCCTGGACTTGCATGCATGTGCATGAGCTTGCTCTGAGTGTGTGTGTGTGTGTGTGTTTGTGTGGTGCCCTTTATGGATCACGGAAGAGCAGGTTATGCTGTGAACTGCAGAGAAGGACAGTGTGAGAATCTGTCTACCTTGGGGGCAGATTCTGCAATAAAAGCAGACATATTGACAAGGGCTCTACCCCCTGGGAAAGAATTCACGAAAGTGGCATAAGGCAGAGCAAGAGAGAATGAAGAAGTAGATAAGCATGTCTAAAGATAAAAGCACCACTTAGATGGAAATGATTAAAAGAAGGGGGAACTGCTGAAATAGCAAATGCAAACTTCAGACTCTTGAATTCTTGTTTAGGCATACTGGACTTGAAATGGTCACTGAAGTTTATGCTATCAATGAAATGAAATTAATCACATTAAAGGTCATAATTATTTAGTCATGTTAAATCTACCAATGTATTTTTGGATTTCTCTAATCACTTCAATAAGTAAGCACTGCCATCCATTAATTCTGTGTTGCTGTATTTTGTAGGGTGGCACATAAAGCTAGAGGCTCATTATGCTCATTGTGTTTGGTTATTTTCTGCTATTACAACATAGTGAACACCTCAGCAATTTGTAAGTAGGCAGACTAGAGGGAGACATCTTGGTGAAATTCGTGGAATATTTATTTTTTAACAAATGAACCTTAAAAACAATTCTAGGTTCTTAAAGCAATTCAAACAAAGGTAATAAAGGACTATCAAGTCAAGATCCTGAGAACGTTTCCTTGATGATTGGCATGGGATAGTTGTATTAAGCATATTTATTATTTGCTTTGAAATATGAATTTTGCTAAAGTAGTGTTAAAAGTGTCTGGTAGTTTGCGTTACTGAGTACTTCAAATATATTCCCTGTAGTCTTATGTCCACTTAGTTCTAAAAGTAGATAAAGTAATTACCTGTTGAGTGTCCTTCGACAGTGCTGGTAACCCCCTATTTTCCTTAATGAAAATCTGATCATCCCCCTTGCAATTTTTTTCCTCCTGTCTGAAATGCGTCTCTTAGGATTAGTTCCTTTATCTTCAAATGTTCTATTGTCCAGAAACTTTTTTTTAAACAGTGCAGTTACCCTGGGATAGGTAATCACTTGCTTGAAGTAATTATGAACAGCATTGTAAGATTCGTTAATGGAGCAGAAGCCCTCCCTGGGATGAGTTGAGGGGTGGTGGTGAGCTGCTGCAAAGGGGGTTTCAGGATGGCCAGATAGGAGCATGTGGGCCCCTCCCTTTCTCCCCTGAGGGGCTGGGGTCTGAACTATGATCAATAAAAAGTGAATTTTTCTTATGATACTATCCACAACATTTGCATACCTCTTCCTCCCCTCTCCCTAAGTGACAAACAATTTCATCAGCAAAATTGCAATAATGTAACTCATATTTTAACCCAAGTCCTTATACAGTCAGTTTAACTGGATTGACCAGTCAGTTCAGAGTTAATCCGTCACCTCAAGATGAAAAACTCTCACACGACTGTTTATAGGCCTCATTTCAAATCTTTAGTTTTAAAACAAATTTACCAGTAAAAGAAAGTGAAGGGAATTATGTTTCAGTGGGAACTGAAACAATTTTGATATTTCTAATTTATTTGTTCCCTAGACACAGATAATTGCACTGCCATACAGAACTTTTAGAACCGCTCACTGGAATGTACACAATTAAATTTTTCACGTATATACAAGTAGAGAGAATAGTATAATGAGCCCTCATAGATCCATCTTAAGATTCAAAACTTACTAACATTTTTAGTTCATCTATCTCTTTTCTTTCTTATAATTTTTATATATTTTATGTATTTTAAATTGAATTCCAGATATCATATCAATTCACTCTTCAGAACTTCAGTATGTTTATGTAACACGTTAGGCTTTAAAAACAATCCATAATATCATCACATGAACTAAAATTAGCAACGACTCCTTAATATTTACTAATCTATATGCAAATATCCCCAGTGTCTTAAAAACTATTTTAAATTTGTTTGAATTAGATTTCAAAAAGTGGTGACACATTGCATCTGGTTTATGTACCTCTTAAATTTCTTTTAATTGATAACAGTTCCCCTCCACCCTTTTTTTCCCTGAAATTTATTTGTTGTGGAAACCAGGTCATTTGTCCTATGGAATTTCCTATATTCTGAATTTGTTTTATTCTTTTTATATCCTTGCCCAGATTTCTCTAGGGTTGTTGATGTTTCTCAATTTTTTTAGAAGCTCTCTTTATTTATTAGGGACCTGTGATATATGTTGTAAATATTTATGCCCAGATTGTCATTTGCCTTTTTATTTTCTTTATGATATTATTTCAGGTTGTGAACATGTTTAATATATTTTCCACTATCTCCCCTCATCTCTCTGCTCCCCGGTTTATTTGCTTACATGCTTTCTCTTAGTGTTTATACCGTTAAATAGTGTATATACCTCTATTATTTTTCAGATACGAATGATCTATTTTGACTCTCAGCCATGAAAGATGAGGAACTCAGCATGTACAGTAATACTATTTTCCTATCAACTTTGTAAGTTACATCGCTTCTATGTTGTCAGTGTTAGTAATTTTACATATTTTTCCTGTGGCCATAATCCCCACAGGTGTTTTAATCTTAATATACCAGATAAATTAATTAAACAATAACGTCCTGTCCAATTTTCAGCTAATCTCTTTTGCTTGGTTAGATTTTTTTGGTGGTTTTTTCAAAAAAGCAAAACTCCCAGTAACTATATGCTCTGAGTTTTTGAAGGTGAATAACAATTTTCTTATGGGTAGATTTTGTGGGTCATACGCTCTTTTCTTTCATCGCTTCACTATCTTTTAGCATTGAATGTTACTTGGTAGAAGTCTGAGGCCACCCTAATATTTTTCACTCATAATTGATTTGATATTTTTACTGAGTTCCTAGCGAATTTTTTTCTCTATATTTGAATAGGGTATATCTAAGTGCTACTCATTCTTGGTCACTTTTTGTGGAACCTGGTATGAGTGTTTAGTATGTAGATTCAAGGCTTGATTCATTTATGCAAAGCTTTCTTATTTCTTTAAATATGTATAATATTTACTGATATTTATTTATGTTGACTCTCCTTTACCTTCCCTGGATATTTTCTATTTTCTTAGACCTTTTAAGTCTCTTGTTAATTTCCACTTCATTCTGCTTACTTTGATCAATCCTGTTTTCTATGGCCTTTACAGTGGTTGCGGGAGTGTCTGTCATTCTTTGTGTTGCTTCCAGTTTGGCTTCATTTCTCTGACAGTTTTGTTTTTCTCCCACGTCTGTGCCGAGTGCTGCCAGCTCGTGTTTTAGCTTCTCTTGACTCCTGCATACTCCTGAATCTCATATCTCTGATTTGTTCTTTTGTTGTGTAGCTATGCTTCCTTTATATCTTTTGAGTTGATGGTGATATGATGTGATATGATAGTGTTATGATGAGTCACATTGTTTCCTGGCAGTAGTTTTCTAGGGAGTGTTATTTGCCATTTTCCCCCCTGTTCCTTCCCTCCTGTTTAAGATCCTTTCAGGATCTTGTCTACTTCCTAGTAATGCTACTCTTCTTCAGTAAGGGTAGTTATAAGTCAGCCTTCTTTCTCTTTCAGTCTAGTTGCAACAGCATTTTATCTGGCAGAAATAACTCAGTGTTGCTGGCTTGCGTATTGCATACTTCCCATTTTCCAGAGATGAGACAGATTTGACCACCCACCTTTTTTTTTTTAACATTTCACCGGTCATTTCAATAGCACTCTTGTATTTTATTGTACCTGAATGTACTTAGATGATTTCTGACATTTTCAGAGTGTACATTCTGTACTTTCTGTTCTGGCGCCTGCTGCTCAGTAGTTCTGATGTCTGAATCACCTGAGATAGTCTATGTGCCTGGGAAGTGTCGAGCTAACTTTTGAGAAGGATTAAATAAGACTCAGCTCTGGGAGTGGGTGAACCTGAAATGTGGGTAACAAAATATGAATGACTTAGAGAGAATACTTTCTCACTAAAAGGGGTGTGTGTGTGTGTGTGTGTGTTAGTTTCAAAAATAAGATGAATTTAGGTATCGAT